TTGAAGACCAAATGTTAAAGTAACTTTGTGCCTTCATGTTGCATCTTGTTCTCCCTAAAATCAATAGCATATTCAAATGTGAAACAAAAGCATTTAATTATGCTACAAAAAAAAACATAGGGAAAGACAATTATTTAGATATAAAAAGAGATAATATCACCATCTATAATCTTAAACACTTGGGGGAGATGAGCAAGTTTGAAGACAAGAGTCAAAGATATTGTCAAAAGAGTTAACTGTGAGAAGTTCAATATCAAGAAATCTAATAAGAGTTGTACATGAAAAAAGTCTTGTGTTTTCCAGTCAATTAGATAACCAAAAGCAAGAGAAATAGATCAAAAAAATTTATAACCTGCCAATATGAAGGTCTAATGCATGAAACAAAAAACCACTAATTTATAGTCTGTGTTCATCGCCATGAGTTAACCCTTATCCCCATTCACATAACAATATCAACACAATTCTATCTTTGACCATTTAACTAATAGATTACATATTATAAGGCAAATAACAATATGGAATAGGTACTAACTCGTATAGTTAAAACTAATATTATAATTGTTAAAAATAACTCTATTGTTGTTAAAAATACATGTTCGTTCGATAAATGGTTCTATGGTTGAGATTTTGTAGATTTTTTATGTCTGGGTTTTGTATCATAATCCAAATCATATTAAATTATTATTTTAATATGGCCTAATAAAACCGTTAGATTAATCTAAAGGCCAAAATTAGATGAAAGTAAATTGTAACCAACGATTAGTACCATATATATTATGGAGGCGAAAATGATATTAGAATCTTCAAGATTGGAGATTTTATTAGACTAATGATAACTTACTTTTTCATTCATGTGTAGCTTGGTTTGATAATTGGATTTATGGAAAATACACCATCCTTTTGTTGTTTGATAGGTGAAAAAAGAGAAGATTGGGTGTGGTGATGGATTCTGAAGTTTCGGCCAACTATGCAGTCGTTTATGAGGAAGCAGGGTGATGAAGGCTTTTGGAATGGGAAATTGATGCCCAACTACTCAGTGAGCGTAGTCTGGGATACGATACGTCTTGTGAAGAGCAAACAACACTGTTCTGCTCTTCTCTAGAGTAAATTCAATGTGTTGCGTTGGAGTATCATAGCATGGATTGTGGCCATGGATGCGATAGTAACCAATGTAAAGTTGATGCAGTGGGGGTAAATTAAATGAAGATAGATGCACTTTATGCCATACCAATAGTGAGACCTATGATCATTTGTTTTTCGAATGTTGTTTCTCAAGAAGTATTGTTAGCGGAGTTAGTAATTTTTCAGTAGCAACTCTTGGGATCTTTGACTCTCATATGCAGTTGTGGTTGCAAAGCGAAACACGGTTTTGGGGAGACCTATAGGACCTCTATGGTGCTCGTTGATTAGCTTTGTCTGGCAGGAAAGGTGTCGAAGGCTCCATGGAGAGGTCCTGATGTGACCAAAGTACGCAGCTTTCCTACTATTTATGGGTTTTCAAAGCTTTTCTCCAACGAACAAGAACTCGAACAAAAGATATTGATGGAACACGATCAAACAGATTCCAACTCGTGTGAAAGGCCAATTGGTATATGAAACCAATCAAACAATCACCCACTCGTGAATAAGGCCAATCGCTATTGGGTAGAAGCTCGCCACAACTAGACGCGTTCTCTAGTTGATAAGAGACACGTGAAACTCCTGGAGCACTCTCAACTGAAGCTTGCACAAAGAACTAGTTCGTATGAACTTGTAACTTGAAAGTTGATTGATAATTGAATATTGGGTACAAAATTCGTAACTCTTACATCCTCTATTTATAGAGGTCACAAAAACATAAAACTAACCTAAAAGGAATAGGAAAACAAATCCCAAACTAACTAGGAAACATAATACTACTTAAATAAGGACTATAACTACAAACTAAGCTTCTCTTTTTTTTTGTAGGATACAAACTAAGCTTCTAAATAACCAAAATAAATAATAACCAAAAATACTCCAAAAGTCGCCGTAATGATGCCGCTTTCCTTCTCCGTAGCGGAATTGAAATTCCGGTCTCTTCATTCTTTATCAGATGCGGACCATTCCTTTCTTCCTTTTCCTTCCACAAAAAACCAGCTCCATAATTAATTGATCAACCACGTGTGCATTAATCTCCATTGTAATCCATGCACAAGTATTTCCACTTGCTCACACGTTGCAAACTCAACTGCTTGCTTTAACAATTCTGCCTCCATAATCCCACGAGTCCTTTTCATTGAAGAAGGAATTAAATAATCGCCATACAACCAGCTCATTAATCCATGCCAATTGAAGCGCCATTTGTCCATTAAGCACGCTCCCAATTGATCCTTAAATCGTCGAATTCGAATCTTTATTTTTGGACTGCGGGAATTAAATATTGTGCTAGTCGATATCGCATCAGGTCCCAAGAACGACCGAGTTGGTGACAAAGTTATGGCTGCGAGATTTCCGCTTCTTTGTTTCCTCTTATCCAGGTTTAGAGGCCGGAAGAGTTTGCGTCCCTCCAGCAGCATAACAATAAAATAAAAAATAAATTTGAAAGTGAAATAGAACCCAACGAATTTAAAGTCTAGCGGAAACGGTACAATTAGTGCGACAGATGTAAAGCCCAACATAAATGTTTAAACGAAGCATTCTAATTGAAGTGTGGTAAATTACATTTTTTCCTTCCAAAAATCACTCTGATTGCTGAATATTTGAAATTGAGAAAATTTAACCCATGAATCTCCTTCATATATTTTATAGATTGGAGGATAGCATAGAACTAAAATAATCTAATATGAAAATTGAAGTATCAAGCACTATAAAGATACTTACATGACACTTAGTGACATAGGCGGAGGGAGGGCAGTTTGCCCTTGTCCCAGGACAGGGGCAAATTTTGGGAGGGGAAAAAATAATCCTATATATGTTTGAATTGAGAATAAACTTAACACCTACAAGTAATATAATGATATGTTGGCTCTACACTATAATTCATTACTTGTTCATTAATTGTCAAAAAATAATTAATTTATTGGTTTCATTCATGACACTATTATTCGACAACAGATTGTGGGTATTATAATGATTTTATGGCTAATGAGAGATTTGTTGGATTGAAAGAAATTGATAAATGATCTCAGAACATGGTGGAGACAAAAGTGCATAGGTTATATCGGTCAGTTTATTTGTTTCTGAAATTAGTTTTGATACTACCAGTTGCAACTTCGAACGTTAAACGAGCATTTTTATATTGACATATTAAGAACCAGTTTCGAAGTCGAATTGATGATCAATTTGTTAATGATTGTTTAGTGAGAATATCGAAAGAGGCTCACTTAAGAGTGTAAACAATTAATGTATTTTGTAATTCTTTCGTAATATGAAAACTCGTCGTGGTTGTTTATGCAAACAATAATTGTATTAATCGCTTATTTCTTTATCTATTAATGAATTATTTGGATATTATTAATTTTAATTTTAATTTCAATTATTAATTATTTATATATTTTTATTTTGAAAAAGGACAGGGGTAGTTCCGAATCCTGCATCCGCCACTGCTTAGTGAGCTAGCTTATCGTTATGCAAAAGTCATATGTTTTTTCAAATTTTAACTTCGTGTATGTTTTGTAATAAAGTATTTGTTTAGTGTAATTTTTTTATGTTTCTTGTATTTGTTTAAAAAGACAATGGTTCAAATCTTGGTGTTGATATATTTTCATACAAAATAAATAAATAATTGTGAAGACAAAAATACTCTTTCTATTTTCACTTTGATTGTTGGAAATTTGAAATGAAAAAAATTCAACCCATGAAAATGTTTTATATATAGTATAGAAGATAGATTAACGCTAGCTAGATAATCATACGAGAGAGAGCGGTGGCTGGCCGGTTAAGTAGCTCCCAAAGTATCACCATGTGATGTCATGTTCCCCATAAACACCACTTTGATTAGATTTAGCTCGCTTGTTTGGGCATCTCCAGACCACCTACTTTTCTTTAATCTCACCGCCCTCCCCACACCCTTCCTTAATCACACACATTAACCCAACTTGGGAGATTAACTAAAAGAGAGAAATTGAGGATCAAAACGTTTTCTTTAGGGTTATTTTCATTATTAGTCCTACTACGAGGTTGTTTATTCGTTCACAGATTGTACATTTCGTCGAAAACAACTGGAGTCCTATCTTTTGTTTAGTTTTTCTTATTAAGTCAACGATCATGTATGCTTGAAATCCTCTTACTTTCGGTTATAATTTGATTCACAAAAATATTTTTCCCTAGCAAGTAACAATGCTCCATTATCTGGAAATTTTGAATTATGTGCCCAACAGCGAACCAAAATGCGAATGTATAATATACATGACGTGTAAGTTAGCAGGGGGTGTGTTGATAAGGAATAGGTAAGCTGCCTTGTTACTCAATTGTATTCATACGACTAGATGCAAATTAACAATGACAAAGCCAAATTATGAGGGAAGCTCGAAATATTTGAATCGTGATGATAGACTAGTAGGGGGCAAGCGTCTCCTATTTTACGAATTCGTAAAAAGTTTTACACGTATATTAATTTTAATATGGAAGTTTGAACCGTGTCGTATATGACATAGCTCCACCACTACAAATTAAGAATTAATAATCAATGGTTTGCCTACATAGTGATAAAGTTAGTATGGTTTCATCACACACCCTAAGACCAAATCTTACTGCCAACAAACATGAAAATAAAGGAATTATGTGCAAAACCAGGCGCTAATATGGGTACTAAAAAACCAGGCTAATATCAGTATGATAAAATATTATGATCAATAAAGCCACTCTCTCACTCTCCTCATTCATTTATAAAGAAAAATTCCACTCTATTTGCTTTATATATACTCCTAAACTCTCATGCACCACCAAACCCCACTTCTCAGTTCCCCTTCCTTCCTCCCAGTCCCTCCCTTCTTCTTCCTCCATCAAATTATTTCTCACGAAACAAAAACAAAACTGAAATGGTTTCTCTAGAAACAGTTCAACCAGCAGTCAGTAAATCCACCACCATGGATCAACCGACATCAAGCCCTAGAATCTCATTCTCCTCCGAATTCCTCGACGAGAACAACTTCATCTCCATCAGCCCCAACCACCGCCCCCTCGAAATCGAAAACCAGAAACCTCCCCTATCCCCATCGCCGATTCGAACCGCTGCGGATCTCCAATTCGAGTTCCTCTCCAACACCGGGCCGGCGACGCCGGCGGGGCACGCCAAGATGCTGACCGCCGACGAGCTCTTCTTCCAAGGGAAGCTCCTCCCGTTCTGGCAAATGCAGCAGCAGTCGGAGCGGCTCCACAAAATCAGCCTCAATTGCGACGACGCCGGAGAGGCGGCGAATCCGGCGAGCAAAGAAGAAAATGCGCCGACGGGGACGAGGGCGGCGGCGGTGAACTGGTTCGTGGACGACGATCCGTCGCCGCGGCCGCCGAATTGCACGGTACTGTGGAAGGAGCTGCTGAGGCTGAAGAAGAAGCAGAGGGCGGCGGCGTCGTCGCTCTCGCCTTCTTCGTCTTCGTCCTCCAATTCCTCGTCTTCCAGCTCGCTCGCCGACGCCGCCGTCGCGGCGGAGGAGAAGAAGGAGAAGAAGAAGAAGGGGGAGAAATTAGAAAGCAAGAGCAGTAATAACACAAATCAGGTGAAGAGGGCGGCGAAGAGAGGATTGGAGAGGACGAGATCGGCGAGCATTCGGATTAGGCCGATGATTAATGTCCCGATTTGCAGCCAGAGGAAGAGCAGCAGCGCATTGCCGCCATTCTTCCCGCTCAAGAAAGTCAGAGTAGTGGAGCGGTGAATAAAACAATCTGTGTATGGAGGAGGGTGTGTTATGGTAGGATTTTGGAATTTTTCCAGTAATTTTTATTTTTTCTTCTCTTAATGATCCCTTTTTTTTTGTTGTTGTCAATTTTATGTATTTGTGATGGTTGAAGCTATAGAGTTAAGGTCAATTGATGTGGATCTGATTGTGGGATTATATATAAAATGTAAATTTGCTGACATTTTACTTTCAAGTATTGGATTGTGTTTTGTGTCGAATCAATCATTTGTCAATTCCTTAGGAAATTGGAAAAAGAACATTAGAATCGATCACATATTCGGATGTTTTTTTTTTTCGGTCTCATAATCAAAATTCATTTGACAGAGAGAGTGAAGGAAATTGGTAACGGTACTTTTTTGTGTTTAAAAGCAGGAGGACAGAGGAAGGTGAGTGAGTACTGAGTAGTACAAAATTAAATAAGAATGGATTGGAGTGGGGAGAAGCGGAAAGTGAAGTTACATGGAAAATTACAGTTGGCCCCCTGCTGGGCTGGTTCTGCCTGAGAATCAGGAAGGCCACATGTAAATGTGGGAAACCTCCTCCTTGGCGCTATTGAATATTACAGCGCAGCTAATGTTCACAGCAATTTGAAGATTTCATGGATTTGATTCTTTTTAGAGCTTTTGAAAGACAGAGAGGTGGTTGCAACTTGCAAGTCTGAGTGCCACAGGTCACTTGTGAATCAATAAAGCATTTAGTTCCAATGATTCGAGTTGTTGGAAACAATTTCATTATACTTGTGACCGCATCTATTTGTGATTCCTTTTCTTTTACACACTCTAACCGCAGCTACTTGTGACCTTTCAGTTTGTACAAGTTAAATATATCTTTATACTAAATCATTGTTTATATTGTGAGTCGTCATAAAAATTCGACCGTGAAACCTCTCGATCAAAGATTTTGATAGAAAATTAAAGAACAAATTCATTATATGATTTTATATATCTTTCCTTTTTTTTTCAAATTCATTATATACAGCCGCACAAGAACAAGGGAATGGGAAGAAAGCTGAGAATCCGCAGCGGCACGAGGACTAGGGCACGAAGAGAGAGCGCAAGCAGCAACCCAAACACGAACACGAACAGGAGCTCAGACTAGAATAACGCGAGGCTCTGATACCATGTCAAAACCTGATCAAACACAGAATCACAAGAACACGAGACACAAGATTTACGTGGTTTCCTCAACAATGAACGTTGAGACTAGTCCACGGCACAAGGCAGAGTTCATAATTTATTACGTACGTAATCGTTACAGCTAAACTCGGCTATACAACATATATATACTTAGTCGAGCCCTTAAGCCTAGACGGGTTAATTACAGTTAGGTATTCCTAACTTCTAACAGTGCAATCTTTAAGCCAAGCCGCCTTATCGAGCATACAAGAAAGCCAGTCTATGGCAATGACAAAGAGAAGGGGAGAGAGGATCAGCCCCATAGCCAATGTCAAATTCAAACCAACAAGAGGACTATGTTACAACTTCTTTCACGATCTTATCAACTTTCTTTCAATCACAAGTGCAAGTTCAAAAGACCAAAGAATGACCGTCGTGTCTAAGCAGTTTCACAGTTCACACCAGGTTAAAGGTACACTTGACTAGAGTATAGAAGAAAAGAGTTAAGAATCAGAGTTACTCTCACTTGGTATATATATGGACAAAAAGCAGGGTAAGTGAGGGTGGCCGACACTGCCAAAAGGTACGTACACCCCGAGAACCTTTGGAACCATGTGCAAATTTTTTCACGTCCTTGAATCATCACCATCTGCTAGTACTAGTACTGGTACAAACAGCACCTTGACAACATATATAGCTGGAAATCCAGCTTCCAGGGCAGTCTAGAGGCAAATGCAATAATAGTTGTCTTCTAATCATCTGCTTCCTGTTTCTGCTCATGGCCGCGACAGGAAATCGTTCCCAGTATTCATCCTGTATACGACATATATATATATGATCATTTGAGCTTCCCCACCACCAATTACCCTTAAATAGCTCAGCTTACCAAATCTAAGCAAGTTCATCTTTCAAATTGATATGACCTGTGAAAAGGGCAACACGTTTGTTTACCTGAGCTCCAGTCCAGGTTTCCCAACGAAGTGATGTTATTGTTCTGTACAAATCTGAGAGACAAGAGAGAGATGGGGAAAACGACGACATCAGTCACACTATTGATTCAACAATATTGAGATCCAGCAGGTCATCTCCATACACTATGAATGAATGCACTGAACACTTGCACGGAGAGAGAGAAGAGAGCAAAAACAATACTACAAGATTCCAAAAGGGCACTAGATTTGTTTGGAGGGTTTTTATCACAGCATTGCTACCATGAGGAATCTGGTTTTGTCTGCCAGGAGAGGAGACCAAGGCATCAAGAAAGGACGACACTATTTATTTACACTACAGGACAGGACATGTGCGATGACAAGTAACAGAAAGGGAAAGACATCATCAAACCAGAATAATAAAAAGGGTTCCAGCTGAAACTAGAAAAAGACACGTGCAAAACCATTTTCACTAAGCAGAAAGGACTACGGGGTCTTACAGTTGGCGGAGACTGTCCCGTCAATCTACTGTCTTCCAAATGCCTGTTAAAGCAGAGAAGAAGTTAGTCCGGGAATTCGGATATCAGATAACAATGACAGGGAAGAATTCCCCTAGAACGACAAGGATTTGCGGTCTTAACAGTGTTTCAAGCAGTCTTAGCGAGCCCTGATATATTATTGTTAGCCATCTGCACAAGGACGTACAAAGCATTACAGTAAGCAAACAAATCTCATGAACAGTTCAATGTACTGATGTTAGTTGAGCAACTTACATGTTTGTTAGTGCAGTCAACCTAGTGATCCCATGTGATATCGACCCAGCAAGGCCTATACTCGCCTAATCCCTGAAAATCGAGAATATCCAATTGTTTAGAAACATAAACAATAACACGACGGCGAAAACCAACGTTCATCAATTCCCAAACTCACAATGTAACCACACGAATTCTGCAGCCTTCTGAGCAAGTAATTCCAGTCCAAGGATACTGGCGGGTTCTTGAAACCGCTTCTCAATTGTTCAATAGCTATTACTGAAACAAAAATGAATACAAAAAAAAAAAAAAACAAAGGTGGAATCAGAAATCGGCAGCAATTCTCTCTCTAAGCAATTCTCTCTCTAAGCCGTTGCGCGATTTCCGATCAATCGTCGGCGTCGGCGGCTGCTTGGCTCCGGCGTTCATCTTTTTCTTGCCTTCGAGATCCTCAGACTCCTCTCTTCTTCTCTCGGATTGGTGATGTCTTCCATTGAGAAATCGTGGGCTGATTTGTTCGGCATTGCGGAAGCAAATCGGCTGGTCTATATCGAGCCGGAGATCGTAGATGGCGGGTTGAGGATTCCAGAGGAGCTTATTCAGGAAGGGGAGGCGCGGTGGAAGAACAGCCTTGTAGGTCAGTTTCTCCATTCTTCTCCCTCTGTGAGGCAACTTCAGAGTTGGGCGAATCGGCTTTGGGGAAAATCGGGATTGGTTAGGGTTTCGCGATTCAGTGAGCAGCTCTTCCTCTTCCAATTCCCGAATGAGAAAGCTGCGGATTGGGTGTTTACCAGTGGACCTTGGCATTTTAACAATGATATGTGTTTTCTCCGGCAATGGTCAGCGGGCATCAGAGCGGTGAATTGTGATTCCACGATCCCCATCTGGATATGCTTTCAAGATCTTCCCGTGGAGTATGTTACTGGCAGAATTCTGACTCGACTGGCTAGCATGTTAGGTCGTCCCCTGTGGTTTGATCAATCGACTAGGCTGGGTCGGAGAATGGGTTTTCCTAAGGTTTGTGTGGAAATGTCTATTGATTCAGTGTTCCCAGAGGCTCTGAAACTTGTCCCTGATAGGAAGCCGGCATTTGAGGTGCGGTTGGAATACTGTAATAAGCCAGTGGGGTGCAAGAAGTGCAGGGTTTTTGGTCATCAGTGTGAGAGTTCAGAAGTTGTGGAAATGATGGAAGTAGCTGGTCAGGAGGGAGTGGAGCCTGTTACTGGGAGTTTGGATCAGGATTCTATTCAAACTTCTCAGGATAAGGTGCTGGAAGAGTTGGATGCTATTGCCTCAAAGGGTAAAGCTCAGATGTCTGCAGAAGCTGCTTGTAGAAACCTGAACCTGGCTGTTGCGAATCTGGTCAAGTCTATAGAGCAGGGTGTTTTGACTGGCTGGCAAGGTGATGAGGTGCTGCCAACTGAACAGGAACTCCAAACAGCTATGGTGGCGTGTACTAGTTCCATCAAGGCAAGGGAGGGTCCTGTCACCCCTGTGACAAATAGATTTGAACATTTAGCAGTTGAAACGTTTGAGGTTGGGGAGATCATGGTGAGTAGTCCTGTTCCTCTCCAGTTGTCTGAGTTCCCTGTTCTGGAAGGGGGTGGTCTGGTGAAAGGAAAGCAGGGTAAAAAAGGTCCAGGGAGGCCTGCAAAACCTAAGTCAAAGAAATGAAGGTACTTGCGTGGAATATCAGGGGTTTTAATCACCCTGCCAAGCAAGGTCAGATTCTAGCCACTGTTAGTAGAGAAAATATTGATGTTTTTTGTGTCATTGAAACAAGGGTAAAGGAAGAAAAATCTAAAGACATAGTTGGTTCTAAGTTTGATCGGTGGGGTTATGCCCATAACTATGAGCATTCTGCATTAGGTCGTCTGTGGGTTTTCTGGAAGAAGGAGTTGGATTTTACTGTGCTAGAGAGATCTGAGCAGTTTATTCATGGTTTGGTTAAAGGTGTCACAATTGCTAAGATCACGTTTGTTTATGGAGCACAATGATGAGGGTAAAAGGAGGGATCTGTATCATCATCCTATCCTTCAGCCTGAGAGTTTGCCTTGGCTGGTACTTGGTGATTTCAATGCTGTTAGAAGTCCTGCTGAAGCTTCAAATAACCCAGTAAGATCTCAAAGCATGGTTGACTTTGATGAATGGATTGGAAATATGGAATTAGAAGACTGCTC